CCTTCCATGCCTCCACAGCCCGGACTTCTCTCCGTTCCCTTAAACAAGGAAACTGTCCTGTGGAAGATTACATCACAGAGTTCCGTGGCTTGTTATCAGATACTGGACTCAATGAAACCGCTCTAGTGGACCAATTCCACCTTGGATTAACTGAAACCCTTAAGGATGAACTGGCACGAGTGGAAGTTCCAAACTCCTTGGAAAAATTTATAGGTGCTCGCCACCCAGCTGGATCGCCAGTTCTGAAAAAGAAGGCAGGAGCGATTTGAAACTAACACTCTGCCTGATCAATGCTCCCAACCTGCTGGTGAGACCCATAGCCCTATCCCCACCATGGACATAGAGGAACCCATGCAGATTGGAACACTGAATACCATGCTCACGGTAAATGAAAAGGCCAGAAGGAGAGTCGAAGGCCTTTGCTTCTATTGTGACAAGGGAGGCCACTACATAAGCTATTGCCTGATACGTCCTCCTCGCCCTAAACATGGCCATGTGGGAACTCTGTGTCACCATCCAGCAGCCTATGGCATGGCAACCTATGAAGCACCTTTGTTGCTGTGGTATGACTCTAAAAAGCAAATCTAACCAGGTTGTTGGCACCATCACAGCTCTGGCTAACCCTGATTCTCTGTCAGACTGCTGTCTGTAATAGGGGCTGTCACTGATTCTCTGTCAGACTGCTGGCTGTAATAGGGGCTGTCACTGATTCTCTGTCAGACTGCTGGCTGTAATAGGGGCTGTCACTGATTCTCTGTCAGACTGCTGGCTGTAATAGGGGCTGTCACTGATTCTCTGTCACACTGCTGGCTGTAATAGGGGCTGTCGCTGATTCTCTGTCAGACTGCTGGCTGTAACAGGGGCTGTCACTGATTCTCTGTCAGACTGCTGGCTGTAATAGGGGCTGTCACTGATTCTCTGTCAGACTGCTGGCTGTAATAGGGGCTGTCGCTGATTCTCTGTCAGACTGCTGGCTGTAATAGGGTCTGTCACTGATTCTCTGTCAGACTGCTGGCTGTAAGAGGGGCTGTCACTGATTCTCTGTCAGACTGCTGGCTGTAACAGGGGCTGTCGCTGATTCTCTGTCAGACTGCTGGCTGTAACAGGGGCTGTCGCTGATTCTCTGTCAGACTGCTGGCTGTAACAGGGTCTGTCGCTGATTCTCTGTCAGACTGCTGGCTGTAATAGGGGCTGTCACTGATTCTCTGTCAGACTGCTGGCTGTAATAGGGGCTGTCACTGATTCTCTGTCAGACTGCTGGCTGTAATAGGGGCTGTCACTGATTCTCTGTCAGACTGCTGGCTGTAATAGGGGCTGTCACTGATTCTCTGTCAGACTGCTGACTGTAATAGGGGCTGTCACTGATTTAGCCGTCATTAAAAACTAAAAAAATCTAAAGTTATTGAAATAATTTAAATCTACTATAATAAAATATTCTGTAAATTAAGAATCTTACTTGGATCTAATTAAAATAAGTTTATTTTAGGTCTTTTAGGTGTAGCAATCCATTACTGTAATTTAAAGTAATTGTTATCGTTGTGGTGGATGTGATCTACTTGGATTTTGCCAAGGCATTTGATACGGTTCCTCACAATAGGTTAGTCTTCAAACTAAAAGAAATTGGTCTAGATGAATATTCTTGTTGTTGGGTAGAACATTGGCTTAAGGACAGAGTACAACGAGTTATCATTAATGGTAAATTTTCAGGCTGGACAAAAGTGGTAAGTGGTGTCCCTCAGGGTTCTGTTTTGGGACCACTTCTATTTAACATATTTATAAATGATCTTTAAATAGGCATTGAAAGCCATGTATCAGTGTTTGCAGATGACACAAAACTTTGTAAAGTAATAAAATGTGAGCAGGATATTGCTTTGCTGCAGAGAGATTTGGATCGATTGGGGGACTGGGCACTAAAATGGCAGATGAAATTTAACGTAGAGAAATGCAAAATTATGCACATCGTGATTAAGAATGCATAAGCAACTTACACACTAACTGGTAGTGAATTAGGGATAACCACACACGAGAAGGATTTGGGAATTGTTATAGACAACAAATTAGGCAGCAATATGCAATGTCAATCTGCAGTTGCTAAGGCCAGTAAGGTTTTGTCATGTATTAATAGGGGCATAAATTCTCGGGATGAAAATATAATTTTATTAAAGACACGGAGGCTCCTATTATGCTTCTCTTTCTTTAATTCTCCCTCAGCAGCGAAGAGAGATATATGCAAATGAGAGAAAAAATAACAATAACATTAGCATATGGAACAGTGCTCATAGGTATCCACCCCCTTAGTATATAAGGTGTAGCACTCCATGCTTCTTCCTCTTTCTTCGCTGCTCCCTCAGAAGATAAGTACACTCTCATATTTTCTATGGTGTGCTCTGTGGGTTTATTCTTATCTCAGATTTTCATTATATTACTGTTTGGTATTTTGTTTAGTGACTGTTTTACTTTAACTGCTGTGGGGATATTTGTTTATCCCCCTTTACTCCGTTTTATTGCTCTGTTGTAGGCTGTGCCTTTATCTTTAGGGTGACTGGGACACTACTAGTTTGACCCTTAGGGTTAGTTTTTCTCCCTCCCTCCGGTCCCCTCCGTGGGGGCTCTGCCCCGGTCAAACTCTCTGCCGGTTTTTCGCCGCCGGGGCTCATCGGAGACACCCGCGGCACTTCCC